AACGCACCTCCGTCAATCGAAACAGGCGCTTTCAATCGACCTCCGAACGCCGCTCGGGCAAGACCGCAACCACCCACCGAGACCCAAACCACGACCACCGACCCGACCACTGCTCTCCAAATAATCCACGGCCAAATCGGAGGAGCACAGCACCGTGAGTGGGCCAGGCGGTCAAAGACGACCCCTGGCCGAGCTAATCCGTCGCAGAAGAAGGCGACAGATCGGAAATTAGCCGACGAGCTTCTAGGGAATTTTTAGGGCGAGAGGAAAGGGGATCGGGAACTTTTTTAGGGCGTTTTTAACTTACACACTTGAATGCACTAGTTAATTATATAAAAATTTAACTTATTTAAAAACATATATGATTTGTCAACCAAATGCTTTGATGCAAAAACATCTAAAATATTAAATATTATTCTCAAATTGTCTTTGATTTTGTCAAGTTTTTCTGTTATTCTCATCAAATCAATCCTTATATTTGGGTGGTCTAAATGTAACTAAAATAATTATATATTATTCTCAAATTATTTATATTTTGTCAAGCTTTTTATATTATTCATCAGTCCCATTCATATTCATCCTTAACAAAAATGAAAATATGTAACAATATATAAATAACAAATTGTTATGCTATTATCCTCACATTCATCTTTAGATTTAGGTGGTCCAAGAATATGTAAAATATCATACATTATTTTTAAATTGTCATCTCTGACCTAACAAAGAAGAGCTAGAGGTCATCTAGACCTAATAAAAGATTAATTCAAAAGAAAAATATTGAAAAAATGAGTGTGAATGGTCTCTTAATAACTCCCTGCTAAAAACTAAAACCAATAACTTTTATTCGGCCGGACATTTCGGCTCAACTGTTCTGGCAGCGCCCAAAAATGGGTTTTCTCTTAATAGCTCCGTGCCCAAACTAAAACTAATGAACTTTTATTCAGTTGTGACATCGCCCAAAAATGGTTTCGGCCCAACAGTTTCTGGCAGCGCAATTTTTTTTCCAGAGTGATGAAAAGAAATTAGATTTATATTAACAGAATTTATATGCTTCATTCTTGTAACAAACAACCTTTTCGTATTTTTAATAGACGTAATAATTGTTTTACAAATGATTACGATATTGTATACGTTATACGCCTGTCTACTCTTTTTTTTGCTACAAAGAAGGAGACCAGAGGCCCAATAATTAGACAAGAATGTATTGGGGATACGACACTCCGATGATATCATGTTGAAGTCATTCGCCCACACTAGGAGGAGGCGTAGAGAGCTTATGGAGGCCAATCAGATAAGAAGAAGCCAGGCTCACTCAAATCCTTATGTTATCGCTAAATCCGTATTTTACAAAACAATATCCGAAGACTGCTTTTGTCAGGGCCCGACCCATAAGCTCGTTAGGGTTGGACGCGTTATTGTTGTACCAAAATGTGAAGCTCCTAGTGTAGCTAACTACTTTATTTGGAATGAAGTTTTATAGCCACATTGAAACAAAGCGGGAGAATATGTAGAGTACGCAAAACATGTTTAAACACCGAAATTAAAAGCAAAAGCAACAATTAAACAAATTATTTTCGGTGAGCGTCTCACCACCTTTCAGAGCTCTTTCATTGGTATATTGGTTGTCGGAGCTCTTTCATTAGCAATTGGTTGTTGATTGCGAACAGATGACTATTTGAAAAGGCAATATGAAACTCACAAAAATTGAGAGGTGAGTATTGTTTTGGTCACAAATATTGATTTCTGGAAACATTAACTGAACTTAAATTGCGTTTTAATATATTTTTTATTTACATCTTCTCTTTCTTTTAACAAGTTTCTTTGATAAAAGTAAAAGGTACAAAATTTTGTTCAAAAAGACTTTAGCATTAGCTTACCTCACAAGAGCATAGTACACAATCTAGCAGTTGAGAAAGAAAAAACATATTTCAAATCAAAAGAATAACCAGAATAAAATATTGAAATAGATTTAATTATAAGCAAGAAAAAAAACCCATAAAAATATAAGGGAAATGATCTACCTATATTCGACTATCTAAAGCCGGTCTGTATGAATACCTCTCTACAACAACTAGATGGATACTACTAAAGATATAATATAATGTGTATCGTCTAAAAGGTTTGGTCACGACGACTCTCAAGCCGAAGGATTACAGTCAACACATTCTCATGATACTCGCCACATTTTTCCCGATTTCTTCTTTCGTTTGCTCACACATTGGAATTTCACCAATGTACATGTCGAAAAAGGCCCCTATAGATACATGTCGATAGAAATGTTACAAAAATAAAAGTTTCCAGTGTTTTCTTAACAGCAATTTAGTAACTTTTTTTGGGATTAAAAAAAAAAAGAAAAAAAAACTTACTACATAAATCTTTGCTGTGGACAGCTCCGATATTTTTTCCTCCAACTGCACGAAAAAAAATATTTACTGCTTAGACAAGTTCGAAAATTACCAAAAAGGGGTTCGCCTTTTTTCAGTGCGCAGCTTAAAATAAAAACACTTTGTGTACAAATAAACAAAAAATGGGAAGAAGAACAAACAGTTCAAGCAGTACATAACATTAGTTCTTTCTTAGCAGTAATAAAGATGTTATTATACCTTCAGTAATTAGATGTCCGTCAGCCGTACGCCGGAAGTTAATTGTTGTACCCTGTAAAATTTTTCCCATGTTATTACATCACTAATGTAAGAGAGAAATTGTTGTACCCTGTAAAATTGTTCCCATGTTATTATATCACTAATGTAAGAAGAGAAAATGGATAAAATGTGGGCGAAAATGATTAAAATACCACGTGCAAGGGAATATCCTGTGAGAAAATGGAACCAAAAGTTTGTAGGCAGCTAAAATCAGCTTGAGGATTTGTCTGAAAATAGCGACAAATTTGTAAGGAGAGGGCATGTGAAATACTGCCATCAAGAACTGATTAAAGTCGGAATAAACATACCCTTTCTAATCTTGCTCGAAGAGACTTCTCAAAAGCACTACAAGATAGAAATTAAGAAAAATCATAAACATTATCATTCATCAAAATCCAAGTGTTTTTCTTGGGTGCAAAGATATATAATTTGTGCCATTAATTATAACTGTTAGTCTCAGAAGTTTTGGCAGAAGGTGAAGAAAATGTTGTTCACGTCAAGGCTTCTTCGTTACTAAAATACTAGTACTTCACCCGTGCGATGCACGGAATATATTTATTAAAATATTTTAATAAGTACATTAAAATATATATATATATATATATATCATAAAAAGTAAATGACAAATAAATAACATTATTATTGAATAGATAGTACAAGTACAATATTATATGATATTACAAATTTTGGAAAACTTCTCGATAGACAATATTTTTAGTAGTTTTCTTTTCCCCATTATCGTCCCCCCACATATTAATATCTTCAATCCCTGTGGATTAGTGACTCGAGACACATCAACGTATAATTGACATGACTAATAAACACGGGTCTTTTCATGTAAAATCCGACATGGATAACGACTGCTCTTGACTCTTGTTGATTGTCATTGCGTAAGAAATCATAAGAGTAAATTGTCTACGCTGGAACTTGAAGGGTATCCTGAGATCAGATGGAGTTAGGGAAAGTCTTGGTACCAATACCTTACGTCCAGCATTTGATCCTGTTAGAATCTTACATTCAAACACGTGAGTGGAAAGCTTTGTTATCACCAAGCATGTTCCATTACACAGTTCAATCGAATGGTCAATGTTTCTCAACAACATGACAGGAGTCCCAACCTTTAAGTGCAATTCATGATTTGGAACACCAGAACACTTTATACTATTTAAGTACTCCAGAGTGTGCAGGTCATGCAAGAAATCAACACCACCATCGGATTTGAATATGAGAGAACAATATAATGACACAGATTGTGAATATGAGATTTATAGCGTGAATTACTCCTATTCTGTACTCGAGTACTTTGGTAAGTTTGGGTGTATTCTGTTAAGCACTCACCATTAATAATGCTTAATTTTTATTGACATTAATATGATTCAAGTATTTTGTTAAGCATTCACTGGCAAAATTTCAAAAATGATAAACTAAGTTGGCGTTGTCAACAAAAGAGACATTTTGTTGTCCCTCACGGAAAAGAAATATTTAGTTGACAATTTATCGGAAAAGATACATAATCACTCAACCTGGCCGGATATAATGATGTGACATTATAAATTTCCTTAATTTCCTACGTGTTATATACGTGCCGTGATCATCCTTCTCTCCATCCTTCTCTCCAAGTACACAATTACACATAGAGAAATAAAAATAAAAATAATCCAAAAATAAATAAATAAATAAATAATAAAAACACATCAGAAAAAATAAAATAATAATAATAATAAATAGAAAAAATCAATAAAAAAATCTAAAAATAAAAAAAAAATAAAGAAATAGAAAAAATATATTTCGTTCTATTTTGTCAACTATACATTAATAAAATAATTAAAAAACTTATATTTTGTTAATATATTTTAAATATAAAAAATATTTTGTTAATATTTCGTTTAATATAAATATATTTCACTAATATATATTAAAAATACTAAAAAAAGACAAATGAAGTTCATTAATAATAATAATAATACATAATTTATTATACTATCTAATATAATACTTTACATAATATTTTATTTATTTAATATATATAAGTATATTAAATATAAATATAAATCACAAATATAAATTTATATTTAAATAACTTAAGATATATTTTTTTAATATATATTTTTGAAATAAATTAAAACATATTTTTTAATATAAATTTATATTTTGTGATTTATTTTTATATTTAATATACTTATATATATTAAGTAAATAAAAATTTTATGTAAACTATATATTAGATAATATAGTTAATAATAAATTGTATATAATTATTATTATTAACAAAATATTTTTAATATATATTAGCGAATATATTTATATTTAATGAAATATTAACAATTTTTTTTATTAACGGAATATTACAAAGTATATTTTATTTTAATATTTTTTAATATATTATTGAAATATAATTTTTAAAATATTTTATTAATATATAGTTAAGGAATAGAATGAAATATATTTTTTATATATTTTCTTTATTTTAGGATTTTTTAAAATTTTTCTATTTTTTATTTTTATTATTATTATAATTATTTTTATTTTTTTTTGTTGATGTGTCTTTATATTTATTTATTGTTGGGTTTTTTTATTTTATTTTTATTTATCTATGTGTAGTTGTGAATTTGGAGATAATGATGCCACATCACGCCACGTATATAACACGTAGGAAACTAAAGAAAGTTATAATGCCACGTCACTACCTTATCCGTCCACGCCAGCTTTTTTATCCAGGTGGGGTGATTAATGTATCTTTTCTGACCAAATCGCCAACTACATGTTTCTTTTCCGCGAGGAACAACAAAATATCTCTTTTATTGACAACGCTCAACTTGGTGTATCATTTTTTAAATTTTGCCAGCATTCACCATTATCATGTATTCATCTAATAACTTAATTTAAATAGGTTATTCATAATAAATATTCTTTTTAACATGTTTTTTGGATCTATGCCTAATGTTAGAATAAACTAATATGTATGGTTATGTTAGCATAAACTAATGTTGCCTTAAAAAACATAGTAATAATGACATATGTAGAGTTCATGATATTAAATATATTTAAGGTATCAAATGATTGGAATATGGCTGAGCATAGTTGATGCTATATATTTTTAAATATATAGTAAAAGAATATTAATATATTTCCAAACAGAATGAATTGAGTAAGTTAACTTACAATTATTATTTTCCATTCTTAAAATTAATCAAAAATAATTGAATACGAATTTAGTTATGTTAATGCATTTCCCATAATTATTTGGCATTCTTAACAAAAATAATAAACCTTACAATTATGAATTACCCAACCAAATGTAGAAATGTTGTCAATTATAGTCATTGCATATCATCTATATTTAGCAATAAATTCCATCAACTCCCTCTTTATATATGTATATAGATAGATAGATAGATATAGATATAGATAGATTATGTCCCGTGATTAATAGTTATATTGCTATTTATCAACTTGCTCGATGCATATTTTCAAATACTATCAAGAGTTTCGACTTACTCTTTCACAGTATTGATTTTGATACCGTTGCAATTAATCACAAGCCTAATAGTCATGTTGATATCCTCCCTGCAGCACATGCAAAAGAAAGAAATAAATAAATAAATAATAAGAACTTCTTCCAAAATAATGCTAACAAGTCTTTACTAAACGTGCAATTGACAAGTTTTTTGTAGATAGAACAAACCTAAGAAGATCACGATAAAAATCTTGGCACTTGTTCAATTCATCTTCTGGAATGCAGGCATACTTCGAGCCCAATTTTTCACACACGTCAAATGGGTGAACATCTACAAGAATAAGTGTAAAACTCAAATGTTGGGCAAACCATTTTCTGAAGCAAACATAGCAAATTTAGAAGAGTCGAGAGTCAACAAAGAACTTACAGAAAGCAAATGCATAGACTTTCAGAGTTTTGATTCTTATAATTTTCATTGTTCTTGAACCAGTTCCCACAAGTACCTGATAGTTAGGCAGTAAGACAAAAAGGATCAATGAAATAATTGATAAGACAAAACCCAAATCAAAATAGAAATGATGTATGCGTAACAAAAATTGGAGAGCAGAACATTTCCAGGAAAAATAAATAAAATAATAAAATAACAGAAAACGGAATCAGAAGAAAGCAGTACAAACATAAATCCATCCATAATGAAATAAGGAACTTTATAGCATAAGATTTAAAATTCACTAGGTTTGAAGTCTATTCATTTGAAATCCCTCAGATTTAAAATCCCTCAATTCAAAACACAGCCTTAAGAGTAATTTTAGACTTTGCTAGTTATCTGTACATAGAACATCTTAACAAGCAAAAAAGATGTCAGGTATTTCCGTATTTATACAGCATACAAATAAAAGAAATCGTCACTTTTTATGCTCAGTGGAACATACAAGAAAATCACGCAAGACCAAAACATTATTCACCAACCTCAGGAGTGAAACTGGAATTACTTTCCCCAGACATGAAGTCCCCCAACATGGTCGGGAACTCGACACCTGTCCTTGGCTCGACTGTCTTGTTATCATCCCAAGCTAAATTCTGGAAAAAAGGACCACCAGAAGGTCCACAACTTCGATTTTCAATCTCGCACGGGTTTCGATCCATGCAACTTTGGGCTTCAAAAGAACTAGTTTCTGTTGGGATTGCCAAGACATTTGACGAGCTGGAATATATAATATACGGCAAAACAAATAAGTTAAGTGTAAAAACAAGAAAAAAAGTGTAAAAACAAAGAAAAAGATAAGGAAAACCTATATAGACATCGAATCTCACATGTTAGTAAATGGCGGCACTAATGCAGCCGCCAATGATAGCACTGGAAAACACTGAAGACGTTCAGCTTCTTTACAAATTTGTTTCAAAGCAAAACTCGATACCTTACCAAACACCACTGGAATACCGGATTTCATTCTATGCTTTGAATTCCAGAAAAATCTGCTTACATCTTGTCTTACAGAGGAAATATGCTTTACTTGAGTAGAAGAAGCATTTGAGTGAGAACCAAGATGATTCCCAGGCAATTTACGGTTGATATTGCAATTCGACCCGCTCGCAAACCTTACAACTAAAGCGCACGCAAATTTAGACATACAGTTGAAAGCATCCTGAAGAACCAAACTTCCGGGCACGAAAAGATGTCTCGAATTGTCAACCATTGAAGCAATATGAGCTAGCCAATGGGCGCTCTGTGGCAAAAGTGGATCCATAGAGAAAGAGCCGAACGAGCCCCCATCTGGTTCGATGAAGAAAAACCTATTACTTCCCATATCAGCCCACTACAGATTTTTTTATTCAAATTGAATTCTTGTAATGATTGTTGCTCAGTTGCCCGAGAGAAAAACCTGATCGGGTAGTTTAAACAAGAGTTAGCAAAGGTATTAAAAGTCGAGAAATCGTGATTTTTGCAGTATGAATGCACAAAGATATCACAAGATGACAGAATAAGGAGCAACTGCCACAGCTTACACTGAGAAAGCTAACCGAACATATTAAACGATATTCTTTAAAAACTAAAATGACAAACAATAGGATTCATGCCCGGAACATTGGATGTAACCGTACCAAATTTGTACCATGAATCATTGAGTTCTTCTGGAATTACAAATACAAAAGTACAGGGCAATTATACATGGAAAAATGGGGCTGCATTGATTATTATCTTTGTAAAGGAACAAAAAAAATAAAAATAAATAATAATAACAAAGAATTGGAGGCAGAAACAGATCTAACAACATTTGATCAGCTAAACCGAAAAATACAATCTTGAAACAACCGAAAAATCTTGCAACAAAAATAAATAAAATAAAACAAGCCACATTTCATGAACAAATAACCAAAAATCACATGAAAGGAAATGGATGAGTAACCAAAAAATACAATCTTGAAACAGCAGAAAAATCTTGCAACAAAAATCAAATAAAATAAAATAAGTTACATGAAAAGAAAGGACAAAAGGGAAAAAAAAAGAGGTTACAAACCTGCGAAAAAAGTGAATGCCCAGAAGATCAATAGCCCTTTAACACAATTTAGAACCCAAAAAAAAAGGGAAAAAGGCAAAACAAAGTTCTAATTTCTAAAGGTATCAAAGGTTGATAAGGGTTTTTTGAGAGAGAGAGAAAGGAAAATGCTTTGCAGAAAGAAAAAAAAAAACAGCCCAGATTCAATTGTTCTTTTCCTTCAATGGAGGTTTTTTTTTTTCAAAATAATTTCTGGAGAATCGTTGGGAGATTCTCGCACAATGCCTGTATATAATACACGGAAAATAATAATAAAGATCGAAATAAAGGGCGCAAAGATAAATCTTGACCTTCGTTTGCTGCCTACAAAATATAAATATGAAGAAAATCCCTCTTGTGTTGAGCTCAAGTGGCATATTCTCACGCTTCGTATGTTGACATAGCGAAAAACAATGCTTCGTGATGTTGTTTTTATATTATTTTGCTTTGGAATTAGATTTGGTATTAAATATAAATAACTTTACACATATATTCATTAACTCAACACTCATGTTGTACATGAGTATTAGTACTAGTGTTTGTTTATAAAAGAACTTATTCAAAGTCTAACTTTTAGATATCATTTTTAATTCAATTACATGATTTTAAATATCATTTTTAATTATTTATCTCTTAGCATCAATTTTAATTAATTACTTACATAATTTTAACTATCACTCTCGCTCACTTACACATAAAATTACATTAAATCAATTTTAAATATTTTATTTTAAATATTATTTTAATATTCCACTAAAAATTAATCACTCTCAATCAATTAAACATAATTTTACATTAAATCAATTTTATTTAATTTTATTTTAAATATTATTTTAATATTCCACTAAAAATTTGCTAACCAAAGATTGTTGAAGCACGAAGTATTTCAATCAACTTTATCCTTAGTTTACTCTTTTTTTTTTTGAAATAAAATATTTGCTGGTCGGTCCCGTGTACCGTGTCTCGTGTGCTTGTATTATTTTTTATACAAGCAACATTAATTTTGTTTAAAAAAAAAAAAATCATTCCAAACAAAATGAGGAAATATACAAATACCTAAAGTACAGGTCAAAATAGGTCATCTTGAATGATAGTTACAGGTTGGGCTTTTCAAAGGACAAAGAAAGATGGTCGGTAGTGCAGAATGTAGACCAACCCAATTAAGGTGGACAATTATTTTCTTAGTCAATTATGTAACTATTCCGTCGAGATTTGTAACTGTTAAATCATCATGTAATCGTCATGAATAGTTGATCTCACGGTTAAAAACCCCGACGGAAATATTTTTTGACAAGACCATAAAATCTCCCTCTTTCTTAATGTCCATCTTTGTAATTCCTTATTCTAAATTATAAACTAGACTCTTATTCTTTTTTTATCTATAATGCATAAACCAAAAAAATTTATTTTATCTTTTGAGTCAAAATTTATTCTGTCAAATAAATTAAAAATAAAAGATAAAAAATCATAGTCCATATGATAAGAAGTAATCATTATTACAAATGTTCTAATAAAAAAGTATTAAATCACTTTCCACATCCATATTTTTCGCCTAACTTGAACATATTTTGCCCAATTTCCTATGATGCCAATATAATAAAGCAATAATTAAGGAAAAATGATACAGTCCCGTTACGGAACTATTCCGTAGGGATTTGTAACCGTTTGATCATCATGTAACCATCAGAGATAGTTGATCTAACGAAAATGGTTCCGTAACGGGACCGTAGAATCTCCCATAATTAAGAAGCACTTGGAAAGAAAAAAGAAATAAACAGTGCCTTTTGCCTGAAAGTTGGATATTTAAGGTCCACCAGCATCATGTCTGGTTGATTTATTGTAGCTTTATTTTTCCCAATAAAAAAACCAAAAACAAAAAAACAAATAAATAAAAACAAAAACAAAAAAACAAAACACAACACATTTGAGGTAAATACAAATAATGTAGACAGAAAATGATATCCTGAAATGTACAAAGCAGGCTATTAGAAATTTTGTGATGAGCGTCAACTAATAGTATAGAGTAAATATGACTCAGAATGAATGTCATTTACAGCCAGGTAACTCTCATTTACAGACGATGAATAATATCATCAGATAATATAAAGGAAAAATGGTAATTGTTTCGTCCTCGTACAGATTTTTCTTCCTTCTTTCATTTTACTTTTTCTTGGAGAAGAGAAGGGTTATAAGTCGAGAAGATCAATAATTAATAATATTCAACAAACCAAGCTATGTAACCCGTGGATTACGAACAACAGCTCAATATCAGTAACTCAGAAGTGTACTTGAAGTTTAACATGCGTTACAACAGACCTGCTTCAAATAGATTTCGCCTTCTCAAAGTCTCGTCTACCAGCTTGAAAGTCTTCTTGACAAGTTTCTGGTCTAAGGCACTAGTTCTGTAGATCTTAAATACACGGTCAACACGATCAGGGGCAGTGCTCTGGAAATAGAGTTCCTCGATTTTTTTCTTCACAAACCTGATTACAAAAGCATATTACGACTGATATAGAGCACAAAGCAGTAAAAGAATCTGAATGGGTGTGCGCAGCTATATTTCATAGCATGCAAGTTAATAACCAAAAGATGACACGAGAACTTACAGCAGATACATTTTTTGCAGATGCATGAAGTTAATAATCAAAAGGAAACTAATATGAAAACAGATAAATGAAAGCTAGGCTTCCTAAGAGAAAGCTTACTTGGCAAATTTCATTCTGAAATGAGGAGACAAGAAAACACTTATATGCATTTTCAGTTTCTTGTTACCCGGTAGAAACTGGCTGATAATCCTTGAACCAATCACATACGTCCAGGGGGACCTGCATAAAAACTATTAATTGTTAATTGTAATCCAATCTCATAGAAGTGCCTTCCCAGGTAACAAGTGAAAATCTAAAATGTCCTTACTTTCAGAACCTTCTTTTCGAATAAGTCAAATATGTTGAGAAAGAGCATGAAAGAAGTTTTCTGCATTGAGGAAAGACAAAAAATAAACAATGATAAGCTAATGCATGAGAAACACGTTATTACAGAACAGCGATTCTAGCATTTCATAGATGGAACCTCAATGCAAGGTTGCTTCAGGACCCACTCAAAGAGTTCCTTAGTCTCCACCATCCGATTCTTGTTATCATCCTCAAAGAGAGTTTGATCATACCTGAAAAACAGAAATGGTATCATGTACTTGTTACAATATAAATCAAACATAAACAACGTTAACTAATTCACACATACTATTATGTGGTGTCCAAGATTAAAGGTGCCAGATGTTGGCAGAATTCCAAGTTTTTCACAAAACAAGAATATTTATTCTGATAAACCCTGTGATAATAATTTGACATGTCTATGTGTGTATACACACACATCCTTGTGCAGGAGAGAACACACACACACATAGTTGGGCAGAGAGTTTTTAGTCATACCCGCTTATAGCAGCACAGAATATCACAGCTGAAACACCCTCAAATAGATGAATCCACTTTCTTCTTTCATTTTTCTGGCCCCCAACATCAAAGAGCCTATATACCTCTCCACTTTTTTTATTCTCCCCAACTGGGCTGCAAGCATTATAAAAATCAGAGATTGCTTCACATAACTGACATTTGAACCACAAACCCTCGCACTTCCAACAATGCTTATGCACATACAGGAAATATAGTTAACCTTTTTGTGGGACCACAATAGATAAGAAATGACAAACAAACAATGAGTGATAAAATATGCTGCACACTTAGTTAAACAAGAATAGTGGAGGCTGCAGCATGACTAAAAAAATAACCTACCAAGAAAGTCAGGAATGAAAACTCGGCTGTTTACTTTTTCCTAACTCTCTTGCATGTAGTTCCACCATATCTGATTAACATTTCTAGTTTTCAGCAAATGTCTCTATCTTACAACAAATAAAATGTCTTAAACTGCAAGGACTGGAAGATGCCTACATCTAGTTGATAAAATGTCAGTGTTAATAGTGGAAATTGATTAATAGTGGAAATTGGGATTGGGTGTGATGGAGGGGCATAAATTGATTAGAAATGCAGGTAATATGATTTGTCCCCCTGCCAAGAAATTGAATCGGCAATCACCTGAATTGGATTTCTACATCACCAGTTGTCCGAACCCTGGCATAAAGAATATCTTCCTACACAACATAAAAGCGAACATAATATTTAACACTTAAAAGCTAGAACATGATCACTGGTGACAAAGGATGAACATAAAAATGGTTAAATTTGGAAAAAGAAAGTGCGCAGGGCAGCAACAATGAAATGAATAGTACATAGATAAGACAGCGTGGCCACATTAACTCCAACAGTTTTCTCCCTAGTTTCTATTTTTTTTTTTTTTCCATAGAAAGCTGTCAAACAGATGACTAAATGGAACAATCATG